GTGGGTTTTCTCCGGGTCCTCCGTTTTCCTCCCACTGCTAAAGACCCCTAAGCGCATGCGAATTATTGAAATAAAATTAAACCATTTGTTAGTCCCGAAATCACCTAGTTTGTGTCGAGTGGACGTTAAACCCCATTTCTCTCTCCCCTGACCTCCCGAATATGATGTAAATAAACCAATGCCAGTGGATGGTGTATCAGAATTCATGAATGGACAGATAAGACTACTTTTTTTTATACGCCAAAACTGAAATGTGGGCATATTATTGTCCGGCCGTCTGTACATACACAAGTCTATTAAAGTTAATATCCGATTGATAAACAGTTTTTAAGGTCATGAGACAAAGAAGCCTATAAATTTTCAGCGAAAGTTATGGTCCTTATTATCGTATTGACATTGAATTTATAGTGTTTAAGGTCATGATACATGATATAGGACTTTAAACCCCATTTCATTTCATTGCAGGTCATGAGACGAAGAAGTCTTAATTTTCAACGATTTCTGATAATTACTGCCAGAGTTACGGTCCTTGATCACATAATCAAAAATGAAATAAATTGGGGTTTAACGTTCTATTGTTTTTCTCCTATACTGGGCTAATGTACAAGGGCATAGGCCATACAGTGTGCTTTGAGGGAAATTTTGCCCGGGCAGCGGCACTATGGCCTACTCTTATATCGAATTCCAACTGCCAAGGAATCTTTTACGTGCAAGCCAATGTATAAACAGGACCTCGGTTTTTGTCTCATCTGAATGACTAGACAGTTGTCCTTTTCAGGCCTCCCCCTCCGTCCTGCACCACTGACAAGATGAAACAACGTCAGAATAAAGCCCATAATCAACCTTGTGATTATGAACAGATTGAAACGGAATTTCCATTTAATAATCTTATTTAAAAATGGATGTACAAGACTTTGTGTATATCGTAACAAACAGTAGCAATGAAAATAGAGACTTCGCTGAATGCAGTAATTTTACTGAAATTTTCAAATTATTCCTTGTTCAAAATCTTTAATTGTTTTTTTTCTTCAATAAGCTTACGGATTACAGTTTTTTTTGTGTTTACAACATTACTATAATCAGGACTACAGATATTTCTTGTGTTTTTTAAAATCGTGTAGTTCTTTACTAATAGTACATGTTTAATGTATGCTTGACAGGTCAGATTTTATTTGTTCCCATCTGCTGTAAGATGGCACCAGTAATGGTTACTCAACCCAAAATTTAGTTACATGTCTGTTTTGTCTGGTCCATAACACTATCATTGGGCATGATGGATTCTTCATATCGTAATACTCCTGTAATGTATTTATTTTAGATTTGTCAAAAGATGAGGTAAAAAAATTATCAATGGAGGAAAGCAATGCTTCAGGTTCGCACCTTCATCAGTCTCAATATTGAAAATTCTGTATGTTGCAAAGAATTAATCACTTAAACATACGTTATTCAAGAGCTCAATCTGCCTATTGCAGGTTTTTCTTTAGACCTGAAATGTCTATTTATTATATAAACTATTAATTAGACATTTATTTACATAACAAGCATAAAATCAACTCTTGATACCATCGGATATCTCTGATATTAACTAGATTAGAACGGTTCAGCCATATTTTGATTTAATTTAGAAATGAAGGAGCGAGACTTAGCTTCGAACAACCAGTACGGTGGTTGCAATTATTGTACATGTCTTGTCAAACCTTCAAAGGCTAATATCTTTGCTTGCAATAGAGTAATTTGAACGAAATTTTCAATATATTCATTTTGCATTATCTATTTTCAAACTATTATAATAAGAACGGCCTGCTCTTTATCTATATCTTGCATAATGACAATAATGTATCTTTAATCTTTTCAATACACGTGGCCCCAGTAATTGGGTCATCACACAGGTCACAGCCTAGGTAACAATTTTCTGTGGGATCCAGTAACTGGGCCTATTCCAAGCCATGAATTAACTAGAATGCTTACAACCACATTCAATTAAACAAAGTAGGACCAAAAGTGAATAGGCCTAGCTGTAGTAGAATGACGATCACAAAGCTAGTCACCACAGTGACCAGTAAGGAATGGATTAAATGGGTATCAGTATCGCTGAGCAATTCACTGAGCAAAATAATACTTTTAAAATTATGTGTCTTAAAGATACATTATGGGAGATTTAAATAGAGAGTTGGCCATTCTTGCTGTAAAAGTCCAAAAATAGATGATGAAAGAGGACTATATTGTAATTTTTGACTAGAAATAGGCGTCAACTCTTTCTTCGACGTCTCCGAGAATGGCCGATCGTTTGATTGACAGGCGTTAACTCCACCTACATAATCTTGATTATCAAGTAACATTTTCAATGACTGTGGTACCGTTAGTCTATTCGGTTTGAGATGGGGTTGCACAATTCAATTCGTATCACATTTATTTTTACTACAAATTAAAAATAAGACTTTTAATATATATATAAGAAGCGAAAGTTTGAAAAGAATGGACCAAAACAATGAGGATAATTATAGCTGTATATATCGAACTTTCAATCACATTGACTGACACGCGGCATCGCTCAACAGCGGCCTAGCTTCGTACACTCTATCATTTAGCCTCGATCTTAAATTTCCGGGAGTATGACGTCAACTTAACGGTTAATCTCCGCTTACGACGCCATTTAAAAATTTAATCAATCAATGAAATCCTGTTTAAATCCAAGCCATCCGTGGGTCTACAGAGTTGATTTTGTGCTTGTTGTGTAAATAAAGATCTAATTTATAATTTCTATGACATCTGAAGTCTAAATAAAGACTTGTAATAATCAGATTTAGCTCGTGCATAATGTATGTTAAAATATTTTTTAAGTTCTTTGAAATCCTATCGTCCTGTTTAGTTGAAATCCTATCGTCCTGTTTAGTTGAAATCCTGTCGTCCTGCTTTGAAATGCTAAATGATCACTTAATACCCTCAGTTCTCATATATTTGGTACCTTATCTTTTATCTTAATACACACCTTGGTTATTATTATCTTACTTACTTTTTCTTCAAAAATACTATTTGTTTTTTACAGGAGTCAAGGCTGGAAGGCAACTGAAGAAAATCAGTATTAACTAAAGATCACTAAACTTACCTAACAACACAACAAATACCAGAAGGGAAATCTTCAGCAAAAAACAGATACATTTGAATACAGTGTAACATCTAATTCTCTACACCCGTTAATAAATTATTACTATGATACACTCTGAGAAGAAATCTAGCTACTTCAACTGGACAAATTAACTGATTACTAGAAATCTGAAGGAGCTGCTAATGCCTTAACATTGTCTCACAGTTTACAACAGAACAGGTTTGTTTAATGCCAAAAGTGATATTATGCAAAAATATAAAACATGTTCGGAAAATTGTTCTTGCGGATGATTTCACAGAAAGCACTTTGTTTGACTATTATGAAGATGATGATGACGGAGATAATGATAAAGATATAGAATGTGTGTTGACTAATAGTTCATTTACCGAGTGTATTGATAAATAGTCTGTTTATCAACATATGGAGTGTATTGTTTATCAACATATTGAGTGTACTGTTTATCAACATATTGAGTGTATTGATAAAGAATTGGGTGAAAAAACATATTTAGTGTACTGAAAAATAATTTTTTATCAACTTATCGATTGTATTGATAACTTTTGTTGAATACCATATTGACTGCATTAGATAAAGTGTTATAAACTTGTTGAGTGCATTGATACATATAGAGAATCTCTTATCAGTCTTTTTTAATATCAAAAAATATCAACACAAGTTGATAAAGTAACAAAAAACAAGGCTCTGCCGAGTTTTTTTTTACTTTATCAACGAGTGTTGATATTTTTTGATATAAAAAAAGACGAGTAGGTGATTTTATTTATCACCCAATCCCTTCTTTTAAAATTATGTGTCTTAAAGATACATTATGGGAGATTTTAATAGAGAGTTGGCCATTCTTGCTATAAAAGTTCAAAAATAGATGATGAAAGATTGAAAATTTCAGTCAAATTACTTTATTCTGAACAAAGTTATCACCATTGTAATTTTTGACTAGAAATAGGCGTCAACTCTCTCTTCGCCATCTCAGAGAATGGCCGATCGTTTGATTGACAGGCGTTAACTCCACCGACACAAGTTAATAAGGTAACAAAAAACAAGGCTCTGCCGAGTTTTTTTTACTTTATCAACGAGTGTTGATATTTTTTGATATAAAAAAAGACGAGTAGGTGATTTAATGTATCACCCAATCCCTTCTTACATCCACAAATAGATAAATATAATTCTTTGCTGTAGATTTCACTTTTACTGAACATTACGGCGTAGTGATACATCATTTGTGACAGCAATTCAACCATTGCAAAGTCTTTTATATTGACCCAGTGTTTCCATCAAGGTCAATTGAATAACAATAGTTCATTTTTAATAAAAAAAAAAAGTTACGTTTAATAAGAAATGAACTGTTCTTTGAAAATAAAAAAAGTAGTTCCTTTTCAACTGACCAATCAAATTCATGTAAAGCGATATCTCCTTAAGAGATATCGCAGTAGATTATGAAATATATCACACAAGCGATATCTACTGTAGAATGTATTTGGATGATAAAATTTAAGAAATGTTTGTTTATCAGCTTATAGACTGTATTGATATAGTATTACAAACTTTTATCAATATTACTGTAAATAATTTTATGTTTATTTTCTTAACTATAGTGTGAATAATATGTTCATTTTATCAACTATAGTGTATCAAGTGTATTGTTAAATTTTGTTGATCACAATATTGACTGTATATAAATTCCTTTTTCATTATTTTGGATATTGTTTTTATGGAAGATCCTAGACCGTATAATCTGTTGTTATAAGCTGTAGTCGAAATGAGATGTTTTATGGAACAATCTATTTTAGCTATAGATAGGGTATATAATTAGGGATAATAAAACCACCAGACCATATAATCTGTTGTTATAAGCTGTATTCGAAATGGGAGGGTACCATCTACACGTTTTAAGTATAATGTATATCTACATATATTCGTATTATTATATATTATTTTATGCAGCTGTCAATAAAACTACGGCTTGTTTTAACATTAGCTACGTGTTGCTCTTGTTCTCATTATTCCGTTATGTGTTTATGTTAACCTATTTCAGGAACAGGAAAACCAATTTCAGAAATGGGCTTTTTTTGGTAAAATTTTTTTACGCTGGCGACACCATAACAAAAAACAGGATAAATAAAACAGAGTTTTACATTGTATAAATTATATTTTTACTTATAATCAACACCAGCCTGGAGACCAAACATTATTAAAATTAGTTGGATCACTCTTTGTATCAGGTAAAAATGGATAATTTGGTTTGACACTTTCCTTCCTGTAGTCGTCAAGACGAGCCTTTAATTTCTCCACTATATCCGGGTATTTCTGTGATACGTCATTATGCTCTGTTGGATCATCTACAAAATAAACATGTATACAGTACATACAAATACTATTGGCAATCTGAACGACAGATTCACATACAGATACTAGTGGCAATCTGAACGACAGATTCACATACAAATACTAGTGACAATCTGAACGACAGATTCACATACAGATACTAGTGGCAATCTGAACGACAGATTCACATACAGATACTAGTGACAATCTGAACGACAGATTCACATACAAATACTAGTGGCAATCTGAACGACAGATTCACATACAAATACTAGTGGCAATCTGAACGACAGATTCACGAACAAATTCCAGTGAATGTCATGAAATACGCAATCGGATTAAAATACAGATCTATATTTCTTCTCGTTTTTTTTTTGTTTTTTTTTTACTTTCGATGGCCTACACTACATAAAGATCTGACCAGTTGTACTGGGAGATCGCGTCAGGGGTCACACCAGCGACTTTTGACCCTATGACGTCAGTGATTTAGTCACAGTTCCGTGCACCTCACGCCAAAAACTCGCCGTAACAGACCGTTTCATTGGCTAATCCCTCACATCACCCAGAACTCGGGTTATATAACCACTCTTCCAGATCCTAGTGTAGAAAAGCCAAGTAAAACGAAATTTTGAACTATAGAAAAACGAAACGAAATAGGATCTGTGTGAAATACACTGAATGAATAACAAGGATACCGTACGTAAAGGGAAGTAAGATATAACCTTCTTCTTTCCGGAAACTCCGCTACTACTTGGATCTCGTGTATCGATGCCATATTTCTGTATAGTTTGTTCTCTGTTTTGTTGAGAAGTACACGGAGTAATTCCCTTTCAATCGAATATCCTAAGCTCCCTCCCCTTCGCCCCTTCCCTACGCTCCCTCTCCTATGCCCTCTGCTCAAATCTAAATGACATGTTGAGTATGTTAGTAACAATACAATACAGTTGATGTAGTAACAATACAATACAGTTGATGTAGTAACAATACAATACAGTTGATGTAGTAACAATCTAAAAATGAAATAATTTAGATTTGTGAGTATTAATTAATTTGATCGGTATATTGTTTTTAGACTAAACAATAAGTTTTACCAGGTAACAAAATACAAGGTAGAAACTTGGTATTGGTTGGAATTGAGTATTCGAGGTATTTTAAAACACCCAATAACAATAAACCGGTGTTTGGTAATTCACATGCGTGTTTTTATCAGTATCTGGGATGAAAAGTAAATGACTTATATCAGCAATGACTGATCAGTCGTACATCAGTTAGTTTTAGTGGGGTGTTTTTTCATTGCCGTCTTCATTAGCCCAGTCGGAGCAGAACAGTAGAACGTTAAATCCCATTTCATTTCATTTAGTGTATTTTTGACATGTAAAACCTGGGGATAGACGCTGGGATAAAAAATAGATGACTAAAAATGAGTCACACCTGTTGGATGCCATCTTGAGGTAGCATATCTTGAGGTAGCATATTTCCGCAGGTCAGATGTTGATTGATATACGGGCTGGGGGTGGGGGTCGATATTATAGGCGTAGATTGGAAACCTCAGCAGGTGGTCCACTAATATTAATACAGGTGTTTCGCATGGAGACAAAAGCGGGACCAACATATTAAAACGAAAGCCTACCTTTAATATTAAATAATTGATAGGTATAGGCATTATAATTCTCTGATGCCATCGCTGCAGATTGTTCTTGGGTAAGGGGAGGCAACTCTGTTTCAGGTTTATACCAACCTGGATACAGACCAGGGTAACCTTCAACCAATTTATAATCGCCCATTCTATTGATTTTAAAAATACAAATGGTTATACATAAATAATACAACTAATAACAATAACAAACGGGGTAAAACAGTCCGGGGCCACCCTCTGCAATGTTCTTATAAAATTTCACAAAAGAAAACGAAAAGGGCAAATTTGATTGTAACCGAAATGTACAAAGTGATTGTAACTGAAGTGGCGATGTAGGAGAAATAAGTAAAAGAAAAAAAATCATTTTGTGAAAGAAAACGATTACCAGTACCTAGCCTCATAGACATGACTGGTGTTTAACGTCTCGTCAACTCAATATGTCGTTTTGAGACAAGAGAGAAACAGAGAAATTGAGTTTAACTTCCACTCGACACAAACTAGGTCATTTCGGGACTAACACATGGTTCAACTTTATTTTCAATAATTCACTTGCGCGTAGGGGTCTTTAGCAGTGGAAGGAAACCGGAGGACCCGGAGAAAATCATCGAGGTGGGACAAGCGACCCTACAGCATGTCACGTACAAGCAGGGAATCGAAACCACGACACTTGACTCCAACCCTAACCCAACCCCTAACCCTACCTTATGATTTCACGCGCACGTGTTAAACCACTAGCCCCCCCCCCCCCCGCCCTTCCCCACACTTCTGTTATAGAGTTATTTTCTTATATGGCCATGTATAATGCAAAGTTGATTGTTGCCCGAACTTTGTTGTTTCCGCTTATTTATCATTGAATTCCAACTTCATCGATCAGGATCTCGGTTGTTCTACCCATCCGAATGACTGTTTACTACATCCTGACAATAGGGAACCGGACTTGAAAGATCCCTAAACTATTCAAACTGAACTATTCAACATTTTACACTGAACTGTGTACATCTCACCTAATAGCAGCATGACCTTCTTCAGCGATAAGACTGTCATCTAAATTATAAACAAATTCTGATCTCTCTTCACCTCTTCCGGTACTTATTGACGGCCATAAGTTCTGACCATCACGACCATTAACTTAAAATCCAAGAAATAAAATTAGGTTTAACATATTGACAGCAACATACCGAAATTTTTCTTCAACCCTGCGTATCTCACAGTTTTACAGGTTCACTAATATTTCACAGGTGACAATTTTATGGAATACAATTACAATTACTACTTATTACTGAGCGACGTTTCAACTAGCCGTTTCACTAGTCACTATCAAGCAATGATAAAATATGAGAAGTCTAGTCGAAACGTCGCTCAGTAATAAGCAGTAATTGTATTCCATAAAATTGTCACCTGTATATTCCTGTTGAATTACTAAATGTCATTGAAACAATATACCTATTTCGCGTAACACAAATATTGTAAAAATAGCTCCCAACTAATTATTCTTTGAGTTACTTTATTTCCATCAAACTGATTTGAGGTACAGGCCAAAACCTGTATTTAACTTCGATCTGATAGCAGCCATCTATCCAAGACTTGATAAAGGAAAGAAACCTTCAGGCAACACTGGTTTTCCCCACCCAGAGAATATAGTAATTACAAGGATTTAATAATATGATTTAATTTGTATTCAATGCATGATTTTCCCATATAGTATTTATAAGGATTTAACAATTTGATTTAGTTTGTATTTAAAAATATACTTTACTTCCACCACCGGCAGCACCCACTAATGTTGGTAACCAATCAATGGCGTGTATTAATCTGAAGATTAAAATAATGACAAGGTAATATAAAATGGTTTTAAAATACTTGTAGTGTGTAAAGTCGTGTAAATTGGGTCACATAAACATACAATTCTTGTTTTACTTTTGAAATTAGACTTACCCGTCGTAGGTTCGTCCTGTATTCTGTAAACCAGCACCATGTATAAACGCTGCTCCTCTTGTACCCCCTTCATATATAGTAAATTTACCACCTCTTAACGGATAGTTGTTTCCATGGTGAGGAACCCAACCACCATTCTTGAATAGAAAAAGTGAAAATGAGTCACTAGGGTTGATCATATTAAAGGTGGTGGGGGGGGCGGTGCATTGCCTTCAAATTTGAATTAAAATATCCGATCTGATTAAAACACAGATCCCTTTTCGTTTCGTTTTTTATAGTTCAAAATTTCGTTTTACTTGTCTTAATTACACTAGGATCTGAAAGAGTTATTATATAACCCGCCTTCTGGATGATGTTACGGATTAGCCAATGAAACGGTCTGTCACGGCAAGTTTTTGGCGTGAGGTGCACGGAACTGTACGTAACCCACAAGAAACGTCAAAGCTGATTGATTAATCAATGTTTGACGTCGTAAGGTCAAAAGCCGCTTGTATGATAACTGACACGACCTTTCACTACAACTGGTGAGATCTTCAAGTAGTAGAGGCCATCGAAAGTATAAAAAACGAAACGAAAAAACGAAACGAAATATACATCTGTATTTTAATCAGGTTGGGTTAAAATACCGGACTTTATTCGGAAATTCTCTCGTTTAGAAACTGTGAGAAATGAATAACAGAACAGTGCCATATGCAAAATGTCCGAAAAGGGTGTGGGTATACACTTTCATTAAAGCTTATTGCATGTGACACACGCTTACTTACGTCAGAGGTAAATAAAATGATGGTATCATTATATATTCCTTTGTCTTTTAGAGCTAGGGTGACATTCCCAATAGCCTCATCTAGAGCTGATACCATTCCTGGAAAGTTAAATCACGTGTTTTTGTATTCATTTCATTGGTGTTGCCTCTCCCAAATTAATTTTCAGGGTAATTTATTTAATTTGTTTTACCTTTCCGAAATAATTCATGTTTAAGGTAATGCATTTATTTAATTTGTTGCCTTTCTGAAATAATTCATGTTTAATGGAATGCATTTATTAAATTTGTTGCCTTTCTGAAATATTTCATTATAGGTAGTGCTTTCACTTCTTAATTAAATTGTATGTTCGGCTAAAACACAGTATTTGTCCAGTTTTCAATGTTTTGATGTTATATAATATACAGTTGGGAAACAACTTCCAGAATTTACAGTCCGTTTCCTATATTCAACATTTGTTATAATGATCTCTCCTAATGACCACTAAATACCAAGTCAATATCTTTGTTGTTGAGGTACAGCAATGTTTAACATGTCCCAAAAACAGTCATTTATATGTGTTATGCTGTCTTACTGCAATAATTTATATTTCGAAACTCAAATTAATATATTTTCTCTGACTTTTTTGGAAATGATATAATGCATGCTTATAGAACATTTTCTATAGTAAATTTTGATAGTTGAATTATACAAATCACTTTTTAAAGGTTACCAACACTACATTGTAGTGTTTTTCGGTAACCATACAGTGACCCAGAATTAAAAAGTTTCACAAAAGTGTATTTGTAACAGCTGCTGAAGCGAAGAAAGTATAAATATTAATGACCAAAATATTGAACTTGATGAGACTGTATTTTAGCCGATATTTAAAGTTTATTGCATAACGTACCACAGAATTTTCTACGACCTTCATTTTGAATATTGGGATACATTTGTTCGTATTGAACAGGTACCTGTAAATAATAGCTGGACATTTCAAGATATATAAATAAAGATTTAAGTAGTTAATTAAACCCCTGTTTTTTGAGAACCTTGAATTGGACGAAAATGGGTTGAAAGGCGAGAGAGAGAGAGAGAGAGAGAGAGAGAGAGAGAAATTGGGTTTAACGTCCACTCGACACAAACTAGGTCATTTCGGGACTAACATATGGTTTAACTTTAATTCAATAATTCGCTTGCGCGTATGGGTCTTTAGCAGTGGAAGGAAACCGGAGGACCCGGAGAAAACCCACGAGGTTGGACAGGCGACCCTACTCCTTGTCACGTACAACCGGGGATTCGAAACCACGCCAGTTGACTCAATGACAGGCCTTATGATACAGCGCGAGCATGCTAACCATTCGGCCACCCAACCCCCCGGGTTGAAAGGCACATATTGATGTAATATTACTGTATATAAACTGATTAGAATTTAATTTTTAAAATTCTACAAGTTTTCTTTTGTCGTGGATCAGCTATGGTTTTTTTTAAAAAAAAACTATCGCATTGACTCGTGGGATATGTTTTGCCTGTAATTTCTGCATCAGGCCATCTAATTACAAATGGATCTCAAGATTTTAAAATGATCAAAGTATATTAAATATTGGATATCATGGCAAGATAACGACACCAATATATATTTTTTTTTTTTAAACAATATTTTTATTCAGGATGTCTGAATGGGTTTGGGGAACAGACTTAGCCTATGTAAAACTCCTCTCCCTTCAAATATATGACCACACTTTTGATTTGATATGGACCAATATTGAATTCTAATTCGTGTTTTTAATGTTGAAGATTATTGATAATATTGAGTTAGGGGTTTATCTCCTTTATACTAGGTTTCCACTGTCGTGCGATGCTTTACAAGACGATTGTCTCTATTGAGACACGATCTGGTACATGCAGATACGTTCGGATACGTTTCGATACGATCTACACGATTTCTACGACTGACTTGATAGGATCACCACGATTACGAAGCAATTAAAACCACGATTTCAGTCGTAGTGAGAATTGTGTTAGTGAGCTTTAAAGGGGTTATCGGGTATTTTTGGATTTGAAGATGATGGCGTAATGGAGGACTTGTATTGGCGTTAAACATCAAAACACGGAAGTACGTACACACCAGCAAAACACATTAGAGACTTTTGGCAAGCGTAAATTTCTGGCCCGTATCGCGTATCCGTATGGATTTTGCGTGTGACGTCATCAATGTGTGTGCATTTCTCATACGTGATACGTGACACGGATACGGCAGCACTCTAAAACTACATTGACGCAATTACGTATCACGTATACAATACGGATACGTGACACGGATGGGAAAATTCCGCTTGCCAAAAGTCTCTATTAACACTTTCCGATTGCCCTAGAGGTAGGTAAGACTTCCAAACGAAAACATTTTGGTAAAGTTAAGCCATTGACAATTCCTGGTTGTTCGTTTCGTAAAATATTTGCTCAGTATATTATATAGTATCTTCATTAGATCTATTTCTGAAGGTCGCCTTCAGTTGGGTCAAAGGTCACCAGATGTAAACAGGGCTAACCCCTACCCTAACCCTTACCCAAACCCACAATCTCGTCAACAATCACGTGTCCTAACCCTAATTACACCTCTCCGCCAAATTCTTAAAAAGTAACCCTGGACCTAGCCCTAACCCTAACTCAAACCCTGACCCATAATATCGTCAACAGCCATGAGCCCTAACCTTATTTGCATCTCAGCGACCTTGACGAAATCTGGACGTAGCCTAAAGAAATAAATCTAGCCACAATTAACCCTTTTGGTTGACCAATACGTACCTCTATCCACAATTTACCCTTTCGGTTGACTAGTGAGTAAAATAACTACAATACGTACCTCTATTGGTTCGTGAACAGCTTGAAATGGTAAATATAGAAATAACGGTTCACTGGCATTATGATCAGATATGATGGATTCAGCTCTCTTGGCAAAAGCATACTATAAGAGAAATAACAATGATCATACAAATATTCAGTAAATAGATCTAGGCACAGGTACGGGTGGTATTGGGTGGTATTTGGTAGCATTGGGTAAATCGTCCCGCCGCTTTCAGTTGACTATAAGAGGAATAACAAATATTCAATAAAAATAAAACCTACTTGAGGGTGCTAAAACATAGTAAACATAATTAAATTTTTAACACCATTCACAATATAGTCCAGAATTAAATATTATTTCAAAAATGGGGTTGTCAACATTTCTTACAATGTGTATTACCTAACCAGTTTATTCGAGAGACCTCCCGCGACTTTTCTGATTTCAAGAAATAATTTCAGATATATGAACAAATTAATAATATTAATGTCTTGTATTTTAACACTTTGTCATTTTAAAGGAATGAGTAAAAAGAACCAAACCGTGGAATAGACACCATCTTGATCCTTTACTACAGCCTTGCCATCTCTATAATCTAAATAATCACCTGAAATAGAGAGAGAGAGAGAGAGAGAGAGGAAGAGAAAGTGGAGGGGGGGGGGGGCTAACGTTAACTCGACACAAACTAGGTCATAGAGAAATAGGATTTAACGTCGTCAACTCGACACAAATATATAAGTCATTTCGGGACTAACATTATTTTATTTCAATAATTCGCTCACGTGTTGGCGTCTTTAGCAGCGGGAGGAAACCAGTGGTTCAGGAGAAAACCTACGAGGTTGGACAGGCGTTCCTATTCCTTGTCGCGTACAGCCGTGGAATCGAAACCACGCCAGTTGACTCAATGACAGACTTTATGATACAGCGCGCACGTGCCATATGGCTATTTATAATATCATACACCCCACCTCTGATAGTTCGAGACAACCACTGAAGCGTGCACATTAGCCGTGTCGAGACCAACTTTCTGTAGAGTGCACGGGTCACCCTACCTTAGGCTATGAGGGAAATTTTTTACCGGGCAGTGACATTATGGCCTGCTCTTATATCGAATTCTAACTACCAAGGGATGTTTTACGTGCACGCAAATATATACATGGGACCTCGGTCCTGCACCAGTGACAAGGGAAAACCAAGTCGGAAAATCAGATGAACTTTCTCGGTCAATGTAGTGATCGAACACGCAACCTCCATGCCAACGTAGGTCCACTATTATAAAATGAACGGTTAGAGTTTTATCTAAATCTAAAGCTTACACAATGAATCCTTATGTTTATTATTGTATAGAAATTACCTGGAAAAAACATATTAAGTGTATGGTTGTAATAAAATTCCCGAGCATTGTAATAACCAAAATACGAATCAAAACCACGGTACGTTGGTGTACATTCCCATTTACAAAAACCAAGATGCCATCTGAAAAATTGAAAATACACCGAGAGGTTATCTTAATGAATTCGATGCATTTCCTTCAGAATATGTTATTGTATCACGGCTAAAATTAATTAGACATTTCCATTGTTACTAATTTCGTTTGTTTGTTGTTTGTTTTAATATATTTTTATATTTCTGTTTATAAGATTAGAAAACACCATGGTGGGCTGGTTGAATCAATTTATAATAATAGAAAAACCTACTTTCCAACCATGTGAGTTGCATATCCCAAATTCTTCAACTCCTGTGGTAAGATGGTTATATTTAACGGTAAACAGACAGGTTGAAACGCCAAAATAACTAAATGCTGTAAAAACAATTAAAAACTAATTCTACAAAAATTATAATATGCGCATAATATGTGGTTTTATGCTAAAGTAGTCATATAATAGCATTGATTAGATGGCGATTTTATACTAGAACTAATCGTGTGTGTGAAACAGCTTTATTTAACGTCCGCTTCCACCGAAGTGATATCGCAGACAATAGCACTAATCAACATATACGTGATTTTTATACCAGTAGAACAAATATAGCACTAAACATAACATATATGGGTTATAGCAGAAATATATTTCCAGTCCAGTAAATAATAATAATCAGCAACTATATGGTTTTATACTAGCACTATAAGTAAATATATGATTTACACTGGCAGTAATCAGCAAATATATGGTTTTATACTAGCACTAATCAGTAAATATATGATTTACACTGGCAGTAATCAGCAAATATATGATTGACACTAGTACTAATCAGCAAATATATGATTTACACTAGCATTAATCAGCCAATATATGATCGACTCTAGCACTAATCAGAAATTTATGTTTTTATACTGGCATTTAATCAATAAATAAATGGTTTAATACTTGTATTAATAAGCATGTCAATGGTTTTAGATCAAACAGGAATTAATGCATAAGTAATAGATGCCTAAAAGCAATCAAACTATGAGAATATGGTATATCTAGAGTTTACAACATTACACTGTACCTGTAAATCCGTCCTGAAGTGATAATAACTACTCATAAAACAACTTACCTGTAAACCTGTCCTGAAGGGATAGTAACCACTCATGAAAGAACTTCGTGAACTGCAACGGAGAGAAATATATACATTTAAAGTTCGATCACACATTCAACTGACTTTATTTAAATATAAATAAATATTTCAACTGGACACTGCACTTGTATTAGAGCTTATCCCCAAAATAAAATAATTTGAATTTGTGTATACATGGCACTTACGGGCTGCATAAAGGCTGGACATATGATTGGTTTAAAATCACACCTTCTCTGGCTAATTTATCTATATTAGGGGTTATCATGGAGGGGTTGTGGTAGCCGACATCATTCCAGCCTAAAATATAATAACAGGATATAAGTTTTTTTTAACGTTTTTGGATAAAGATACCAGTTGTTGTGAAATGCATCTGGTTGTAATAAAGGCATTAGAATGTACTATCGATCTTAGACAGAAAGGGGTCTTTTTAGAGGGTCCCACGTCATATTACAGACTAGTTTGTCTTTAGATTTAAACCATGATAAAGCAAATGCTACAGTTTTAAAAGATGAAATTTGTCAATGCAATAGAAGGCATATTATAGTTTATATTCTAGGGAGGGGTGGATGGCCGAATGGTTAGCACGTGCGCGCTGTATCATAAGGTCTGTCATTGAATCAACTGGCGTGGTTTCGATTCCCTGGCTGTACGTGACCAGGAGAACGGTTGACTGCGAACCTCGTGGGTTTTCTCCAGGTCCTCCGGTTTCCTCCCACAGCTAATAGACCCCTACACACAAGAGAATCATTGAAATAAAATTGAACCATATATAAGTCCCGAAATGACCTAGTTTGTGTCGAGTGGACGTTAAACCTGATTTCTTCCTCTCTCACTCTACTATCGATTATTCCTTTTAAGATCAAGCAGAAAAAATGCCTAGATGCAGTTTTGATTGGGTTTGATGTCCTTCACAAGAACCGTTTATATAAATTATATAGTACAACAACGTTGTTTAATGCAGTCAAGGTAACAAGTCATGGAACCTTGACGGTGTGAATATGCTATGTCATGTGACACTGAGATTACGTTCACGTTACGCAGCTAGGTCAAAGGTCACATAATACCTACAATCATACATAACGTTCATATCGTATCTACAATCATACATATAATAAACAAAGATATCAATTGATAAACCAGTCACGTGATATTGATTCACTCAACATATACGGTAGTAATATACAACTTGATGATTAAGCTTAAAATTGTTTCTTTGAAGTAATGAAATAAAATCATATTATTCAATATAGAGTACAGTACAGATAAATTGTACTAATTACAGAATATAGGTGTACTTCACGCCAAATTGTTATCAACGTGCAAACGCTTTTCAATGTCATCTAATTTCGTTGTCAACAGCTCTATGAAAAGTAGCACTCGCTACAAGTAAATACAGGGAGAGGGAGAGAGAGAGAGAGAGAGAGAGAGACTGAGAGAGAGAAGAGAGAGAGAGAGAGAGAGAGACCCCTTCTTTATCTCTGTACAGCTAGAACAGTAAAACGTTAAACCCATGTTATTTATTTTTACTTACCCAAGTCATCAGCTACAATAAATACAATATGAGGTTTCTTGCCATGAATACAACACAGACATAACACAGTTAATATAAACAGATGAAAACTTGTCTTATTCATAGCCATGTTATATATACCTACACCGTTATAAACTTTGACTATAGTTTAGTCTATCTACACGATATCTATAGGTCGATATATAGGACGCTTTGCTGTTTACATTCACCAATTTTAACGGACACTTTATGATGAATATAAGTTAATTTAACTGCGGTTGACTATAGTCCGGTACGAATACACGGAAACTCTTGCCTCAATAAAATTTGAATTCTGATTGGTAAAATAATGGTGATATTTTTATTTTTATTCTCCGTGCCTTATTCCACGGTCATAGATCGGTCCAGCCACAGTTGAGCAGTCAATTCCAGCCAATCAAATCGTTAATATAACACAGCAAGCTATTCTATTGGTTGAAAATTATAGCCACCGTTTCATTTTCATTTGAAAATAATTACTATATTACTTGGTTACATTGTTAAATTAAATGACTTTAATTTTCCGTACTGTGAACTGATTAATTTACATTAGGTGATTATCCATGTTCAGGGAAAAGATTAGTAAACTAATTAATGTGGTCGCGGGACTAATTCACCATTAAGAAAAATAAGTACGTGCTTAGTGTTGAGAATGTAGAAAGTAAAGCATGAACACATAACCGAAATAGGCTATAATAAAGATATTAAACTTAGTTGACTTAAACATACATTATGTATGTTTTATATATTTCAGTGCTGTATCATATTAAGGTCTTCATTGATTTAACTGGCGTGGTTTCGATTCCCCGCTTGTACATGACAAGGAGTGGAATCGCCTGTCCAACCTCGTGGGTTTTCTCTGGATCCTTCGGTTTCCTCTCACTGCTAAGGACCTCTACGCACAAGCGAATTGTTGAAATAAAATTGAACCATATGTTAGTCCCGAAATGACGTAGTTTGTGTCGAGTGGACGTCCGTTAAACCCCATTTCTCTCTCCCTCTATATCTTACATCGCTTGAGGCACGACATACCCTAAATCATGTACGACACGTCACTACTAGGGCGATAGCTTGGTCGGGGTTTTGTTTAAAACGTGACTTTGTGGTTAAGACCGTAATTCACTGGTTATGAATAATCATTTAGTTGGAAGATTGGTATCACCCTGAAACAGGGTTACCTCCCCTTGTTCAACAACATGAAATGAGCTATCACGTCTTAGTATTCTGTACCAGCCGTTTTAATGAAGAGGTTAGAGCTAAATGATAAGGCCAGCTCAATTTTTCGTCATAGGTCACGAGATGTAAAGCGAGCAAGCGTTAATCCAAACCCAAACCCTTGACCTAGCCCCAATGCTTTACCTAACGCTAACCTACAATCTCGCCCAACAATCACGTGTAGTAACCTTATTTAAATTTCAGCGACGTTGACACAAAGTGAGCTGGCCTTAACAAATAGATTTCGCCACGAGGAGGGGTGTACATCATGTAGTGTTTAATGGGGGCAACATGGGTTTACTGTGACGTTTCCAACAACTTTTCTTGATATACAACTGACAATGGCTACTTTTCTTGATATACAACTGACAATGGCTACTGTTCTTGATATGCAACTGACAATGGCTACTGTTCTTGATATGCAACTGACAATGGCTACTGTTCGTGCAAGCCAATGTATACACAGGCATATAATTTTGGTGGAAGATTGTTTGGCTGTGCAATGTCTAATGCTAGCATGGGTAACACAGGTTACGGACAATCAAGTTAGTGAAATCGCCGGTGACATAAAATAGAGTTTAACGCCGTACGTTTTGGCACCTACCAAGATAATAAAATTTGGTGCTACGGTTATTTTGATTCCCAATTGTGTGGAAATCTTGAACGTGTTGCTAGTGGTATATACAGAACCTCCTTTATTTGGCTCATCCGAACCACTGGCCGCCTTCCATGCGGGAAACTTCGTGCTATCAACTATCTAATATTAAGGTTTTATTTGTTTCATTCTCGTTTGGGTGGCGTCTTTATATGCTTAGTATGGAATTGATAACAGCTATGTTGGAACTATATTTTTGGCGTATGAATACATCTATTTTTAGATATTTGGTGGTAAAGTGTTACAAGTATTTCCAAATGTCACTAAACTTGTGAACATAATGTTTGTCATTTGGGTCAAACATTGTGGGATTAATGGCCAAACCTATCCAAGTTCATTTTTGAAAGAGTTATTGTCTGGTCACCAAAATCATGTGGGGGGTTGGATGACCGAAGGGTTAGCACGTGCGCGTTGTATCATAAGGTCTGTCACTGAGTCAATTAGCGTGGTTTCGATTCATCGGTTGTATGTTGCAAGGAGCAGGGTCGCCTGTCCAACCTCGTGGGTTTTCTCCAGGTACCCCGGTTTCCTCCCACTGCTAAAAATCCCTACGCGGCAAGCGAATTATAGAAATACAATTGAACCATGTGTTAGTCCCGAAATGAACTAGTTTGTGTCTAGTTGACGTTAAACCCATCTCTCTCTCTCTCTCTCTCTCTCTCTTTCTCTCTCTCTCATTAGCCCAGTCGGAGCAGAAAACTAGATGTTAACCCTCATTGTCTTATAGACAATATGAACCGAAAAGCAAAAAAATTCCCGGATCCACATGATATAAAAGACGAATCGGTGCCTCGAGTTAAATCTAAACACATACCGGATATCGTCAACTTGTCTTTTGTTCAGTATAAGAATGGAAGATCAATTTTCCTACGTTATAAATGAATGTTAAAAGGCTAATGTTAACAATGGTGAGAATATAATACAAATAAAGTATGACTTGACATATCATATAAATACCTGTAAATACCTGGCCTCAAGTCTCTCGATAATGATTCGTAGATTAGTTGGGTTTTGTCTTCTAGTTAGTGGTATGAGGAGGGAGGGGGGGGGGGGTAAAAGTACAATCTTATATTATATTCTGTATACAATTAATAACCAACGCAACACATAAAGACCATGTGTTTTTTGATCCCGATGAGAAAGGCTGAAGATTTCGAGAGAGAGAGAGAGAGAGAGAGAGAGAGAGAGAGGGAGGGTCATTTCGGGACTAACATATGATTCAATTTTATTTCAATAATTCGCTTGTGCGTATGGGTTTTTAGCAGTGGGAGGAAATCGGAGGACCCGGAGAGAACCCAGGTAACCCCACTTCTTGTCACGCACAACCGGGGAACCGACACCACGCCAGTTGACTCAATGACAGACATTATGATACAGCGCGCACGTGCTAACCCTTCGACCATACAACCCCCCAGCAGAAATGAGATTTTTGATATAATTAATCATTAAGCTAATTGGCGTAAGTGAATTATTGAAATAAAATTTACTATATTTTATGTTAGTCCCGAACCAGAATGATCTTCTAACTTTTGTCGAATGGATGTTACCCCACCCCACCCCATGAAATGAAATGGGGTTTAACGTTCTACTGTTCTGCTCCGACTGGCCAAATGGTGGCACGGGCAGCGGCACTATGGCCTATTCTTATATCGAATTCCAACTGCCAAGGGATATTTTACGGGCACGGGACCTCGGTTTTTCACTCCATTCGAACGACTAGACAGCTGTCCTTGTCAGTGGTGCAGGATGAAGGGCCTGACAAGGGAATACCACGTCGTAAAATCTCAACGAACTTTCTCGGCCATTGCAGGGATCGAACACGCGACCCCCAGACTAGCGAACCAGCGTCTTACCCACTTAGCCAGCCATCCCCATAGGAAACAAATGTATTTGTTAGTAACCAGTATGACAAGCACTTTGTACATCAGCCATCCCCCATAGGAAACAAATGTATCTGTTAGCTACCAATATGACAAGAACTTTGTACATGTTCGGTGCATTTAAATAGATAAATAATATTTATAATTTCTCGAGTGATAATTGCATAGTAAAAGAAAGAAGTAAAATATCTTTTTTCAACGACGTTGCCAACGTTTTCTTGGTAATCATTGTTTGTAATAAATTCTCTTTTGCTCAGCTGAACGTGTTACTAAAATAAATACGGCATAAGATAACAAAAATTATATAATCGAAAGGGAAATAATTTTTAAAAACAACAGAATCTTCTGTTATTTTCTACTTGTTTAGAAAGTGTGAGACCTGTTTGATGTGCGTGTCAAAAAATGGTGTGTTGGTTTGGTTTGCAATATGATATTTTTCGACATTTGAAATTGTGTGGATATATCTAATGTCATCTGATTTACCCCAAGGACCCGTCCTTGGCCCCATTCTCTCCAGTTTATATACTAAACATTGTGGGAATATTGTTAGAAATCAAGTGTGTGTGTTAGTTGCATTTTACGTCCGCTTCCACCGAGGTGATATCGCAGACAAGTGCGGCCAACATCCAACTTTATATCTCTTTAAAACCTTCTAAATGTTATTTTGACTATTCTAAACTCAATATGCAAAACTGTATATCAGTTATTAAAGCTTAATGACGATAAAACTGAATATTTAATTATTGTATTCAATACATAATTACATAACCTCTTTTAAATCACGGGGGGGGGGGGCGAATGGTTAACACGTTCACGTTGATCAGGTCTGTCATTGAGTCCAGTGGCATGGTTCCGATTTCCCACTTGTACGGGTCACCTTTCCAACCTCTTGGGTTTTCTCCAGGTCCCCCAGTTTCCCCCTACTGCTAAAGACCTCTACTTGTAAGTGCATTATTTAAATAAAATTGAAACCATATATTAGTCCCGAAATGACCCAGTTTGTGTGGAGTGAATGTTAAATCCCAACTCTCTCTCCCTCTCTCTCTCTCTCTCTCTTCTAAATCATTAAATCATTAAATCACTCATGTTGTTTCATTATATTATTTAATGTCTCGCGGGGTTGGATGGCCGAATGGTTAGCAGGCGCGCGCTGTATCATACGGTCTGTCATTGAGTCAACTGGCGGGGTTCGATTCCCCGGTTGTACGTGACAAGGAGTAGGGTCGCCTGTCCAACCTCGTGGGTTTTCTCCGGGTCCTCCGGTTTCCTCCCACTGCTAAAGACCCCTACGCGCAAGCGAATTATTGAAATAAAGTTGAACCATGTGTTAGTCCCGAAATGACCTAGTTTGTGTCGAGTGGACGTTAAACCCCATTTCTCTCTCTCTCTCTTAATG